GACCGCGATGGAGAAGAGACAAATGCTGTGTGGGAATGAGCGGGAGGTCAGGCGACTTCTGGAAGACTCGCTCATGGTGCCGAAGAAGCACTGCATGATGGGGTTTGTTTGCCAGTGCGACAACCTGCTGCATGGTCGCACGACGCGCGAGCTGCAGGTGGCGATCCCGGTGATGGAAGATAAGCGCAACTACTGGGAGAAGAGCGTCCTTTTGAAGGGTGGGCTGCAGGATGTGCCGGCAACTCCGTACTGCATACGTGTGTCGCCAGCCGCAGCGGCGACTGCAAGAGCGAACCAGGTGTGCGAGCGCGTCCCGCAGCAAAAAGCGAATGAGACACAACGGGTGCAGCTTGGCGAGAGGGCTGTGGAGGCATTGTTCGCCAGCATCCTGGAGTCCCTGCCCCCGGAGATCAGATGGGTGCGGATTTGCGTGCTTTTTGTCAGCCCAGACTGGGCCTCGGGTGCCATGAAGGCTGTCATCAGCCGACATCGACGTGGGCTGCACCTTCCACGTGTCACCTTCTTCATGGCGGACACGCGGGAGCACGCGATTGCGGTGAGCCGCATCTATGCCATTCAGACGGTGGCGAACGCGCTTCGCGAAGGCAGCTTGCAGATCAGTGGTTTGAACAGACTGCCGGAGTCTTGATTGCTATCGGATTTGATATTTTGACTTGGACTTTTTGACTCGGATTGTTTTTTTCCAGTGAACCTCAACAAGCTGAACTTTTTGCAGGTCAACATCAACGCCAACCAAGGAGTCCCCTCCGGAGTGGCAGGGAAAAGAGCCATCCAATGAACAGGCCCAGGTCCTGCTTGAGGAGACCAGGTTGCAGCTGAAGCGGTGCACCCTTTCGGAGTGTGGCAAGCTGATCCTGAAGCAGATCCCGGATGTGCTTGAGGAGGCTTGGGGCTCAAAACTGGAACCCGCGCTGTTAACATATGGTGGCCTTTGATGCAAGTAAATAGATACTGGCACGTAATTCCTTTTCCATTGAATTCCATGGTTCCTGAAGCCTGAAACCCGGCATCATTCACCAGATCGTTTCATGGGTCCCCCCCATCTTGAGTCTTGCGTTTGGGAGTCATTTGGAGCGGCCCCCCTTGATTGCCAGGCAGTTGGAATCCTTCGCCTCGACCGCTTTTGCCCCTGCAGGTGGAGAAAGTCAAGGAGGAGAAGCAGAAGGCCGAGAAGTTTGCTGAGAGTTGGGGAGCAATGATTGCAAGCTCGGAGGAGCAGCCGCCCAGTGCCCCTGACAATTTGTGTGGGCCAAGGACCGCAGTGTGGAGGGCGCCCAGCCCCAGCTTTGGTTGGAGAACCCGACTGACAAGGTGATCAAGATCGAGGCGGGTGCTGAGCTCTTTGGGTTCGGCTGCATGAAGCTTGAGGGAGGCTCGCCAAGCGTGGAAGGCCATCGCGCCCTGAAGCTCACTTACACGAAGTCAACCTTTAACCTTTTGTTGTCCCTTTGGTCTCCAATCACATCACTGTCGCATGGCCCCAAAAAGGTTACCCAATCATGGCTCCTTTTGGGCTTTGGGCAACTGAGGAAGTGGGAGGTCACCGCTGCAGCGGCTTCAACCTGCAAGGTGGCGTTTGAGAAGCCCGGCACGTCAGGCTTCCGCTGCAAGACGTTGATGCAGATCTTCAAAGACCTTGGCATCAACGTGAGCGCCACCCTGCGGCCAGACTTTCTGCTGTGGAATCATCGCACGGTGGTGGCAGCCGCCAGGAGTGCCAGCTTCAGCACTCTCGCCCCCATGTGCAGCATGGCCACTGCGCCGGAGATGCCGCTCACGAAGGACTCAGCGCCTTGACCTTTATATAGTAACATGTTGATGTGGCTTTGGCGTTGAGCTTTTTGGAGGAGATTGGTTTGGCAACTTTTTGAGCCCTCAAGTAATAGTAAGCAATGCAACTTTTTGCCAGGCCGGCATGGTGCTCCTGCCGAAGCTGGCGGCTGAGAGCGTCCCGACTCCGGTCTCGTCGTTGGCTGTGGCGGGATTTGTGGAGGTGGTGCAGGTTCTGCACGCAGATGCTGCCGGCGTGACGGCGGCGATGGCAACCGAGGCACAGGAGGCAGCGGCTGGGGGAGATCACTTTGCCCTTCGGCCCAGCAACAATGCTGTTTTGTGGCTGGCGTTCACCAAGTGTGTGAAAGAGCTGCCAGCAAAGAGTTTTCTCAAAGTTGGCTGAGGCACGTTTGCTTGCTGTGCCTGCCACGAGGGGCCACATTGAAAGCAATGTGAAAGGTACATCTCGGATCGTTCCATTTCGGAAACCTCAGATACGTGGCTGGCATGGCAGTGCAGCTATAGTGCTCATTGCCCGATTGGAGTTGGTGGTGGTTGAAAAAATGGAGCGGATGACTTGGCTTGGCACTTGGAGTTTTCCTCATTGCTGCACTTCGGAATGCGAGTTTGGTCAGACTTCATGCGCCCCGTGCCAGGTGACGATTTCTGAGCAGATGGCTGTCTCACTGAATGCGGGTCAGAGTTGAGGTCACGTTGTCAGTTTCTACATGAGCTCACATGTCACATGTCAAAGCTTTTCTCCGGCCCGGCTTTGCAGAAACAAGGTTTCCATTATCAGGCGAAGGCTGTGAAGAAAATGGCTGTCATTGTCGGCTGCTGTCACTGTTCAAAGGCAACAGGCAACAGGCTGCCAAGTGTCCTTTGAATTTTTCACATTTTTTTGGGCCTTCATAAAAGGACCAAGCCGTCCCTTGAAAGGGCGCCCGTAAGGGCAAGCGCGAACCCTTTGAGCGGGGATGTGTTGAGGGCGTATGACAACTACAACCAGCAACTGCAAAGCATTGTGGCTGACGAAGGCCTGCTAAAATATGTTTGGGAGGGACTCTCAAGGTGCGCGGGCCAATAAAGCTCAAGACCAGAAGCGACCAGCTCCATCTTCGGTCAGCAGGGCCACATCCAAGAAACCGTTGCTGGAGCAGACTTTCAACACGGAGAAGGAGAAACACCAGCGTTGGAGTTGGGGTCTCAAATGTTTTTCGCCCCATAACAGTGTTGCACCCTTTTTTCCCGCAATCATTTTCCAAGCCAAGGCAATGAGATCAAGAAAGAACTCAAAGACATTGCAGGGTTCCTGGTTGACATGCCCAAATCCTCTGACCTCACCAATGTCTTGAAGAAGCACCAGCGATCCCTCAAAGCCTTTGCCTCGAAGTTGCTCGGCTTGAGCGGCAACAGTCCTCAGCCCCCCATCGCCCCGCTGCCCAGGTTTAAGGAGCTCAAGACCTTTCAGGACATGGAGCCTGCTTGCGCGGAGATTGCCGAAGAAGCTACTCATATTGACTACTGTAACTTGAATTTTGGGGGGTCATTGCCTGTAGCTTTGTTTTTTGTTTGCAGGCCCCTTGAGTTGGTCACTGTTGTTTGGAAATTGCTTGGGGTTGTCCAAGTGACAAAACTATGCCATCAACAGACCCCCTGTGTTTCCCCCACCATGGAAGAACCTGTTTGTTAGGTTATTGAAATGGCAAATTACACATATGGTTGTTTTATTTCTGAATGACTCAACCAAGTTTCAAAACATCAGGTTGCGGCTCTGAAGATGACCAAAGGCCAAGCCAAAGGCATGCTGAACGAGATGAAGAAAATGTGATTTTGAACAACTTAGTGGTGATCGGGCAGCCTGGGTCCTCGGGTGTTGAAAAGAGATGAGAACAAGAATTGCAAGGCAACTTCATCTAAATATTGTGAACGATTACCTGTTGGCAAGTTGCAGGACTCGGGCAATGCTCGTTTGCTTTTGAAGGAACCTGGCCATGAGGGCTGGGCAAGCAAGCTAGTATATGGGGTTTGGCAACCTTGGGTGAGTGCCACACGAATGGGGTGTGAGCCGCATCTCAGGGAGTGCTTGTATGGGGCTTTGATCTTCTGAAAGCCGGATGTCATTAAAGTGAGCAACGGTGAAAAAGACTTCGAAGAGGACATTAGTTGGAAGGCACTGTCAGCATTTGTTTGTGGTATAGGGATGCAATTTCTCGGCAGGTACAAGCTGCAACAGCAAGCTGAAGGAGGTCAAAGATTCTCTGGACCAAAGGTGACTTGGTGAAACATGAAACGAAACCACTTTCAGTTTTCTTTAACCCTCGCCCTTGCGCCGAGGCTCACCAAGGCCACCTGCGCTGGGGGCGCAACCATCTCGCTGGCGTGCGACCTTGGCAGCTTGAATTCACCATAACCCAGCCCCTCATTTCAAAATTGCTTTGAAGAATGGGATTTGAAAAAGTATTCAAGCCCCTTGTGATCCAGTTGCTGTCACTGATGCCCCTTGAAAACCCCCTGACAAATGAGACAGTGTGACAAGCCCAAGGTGATGCCTATGGATCTGACCACCTACAGGGGTACGCTTCACGGCCTCTCCGAGAAACAGAATTTCATTCCAGGCTTCTTCGTGCGGGCCTGGCTTTGGATGCAAAGCCGTCGTGGATTGAAACCCCAATGCGTGATGAAGATGACAACATGTATATAGGGAGCATGCCAATCATGTACCCCAGTACCCTCGCGAAAGCCTTGCTGGACATTGGTTTCCTTGACCCAGTCATCCCTCCTGATTGCTTGGCCTTGTATTGGAAACAACTTTTGCAAGATTTTCCAGACCACCCCTTGCAAGATTGTGAGCAGCAGTGGCGTCATGCAATTCCAGTAAACCTATGGGGCGATGAAGGAACAAAGGGCCACACTTCTTGGATGCTTTTTTCGTGGAAGCTGGGATGCAGCCTGAACACACCCTTTCGTGATGCATGGTTTTTTTTGGTGGGGGGTTGTTGCAAGCTAGTTCAGCTTTTGTGTTGGGGGCTTGGGGCAACCAACCAAGGATGGTCGACGTGTCCCTAGTGCGTTCAGACTCGAAAGCTTCAAGGCACATCGTATTTTCATTTCCTGTCTCCCGCTACGCGCTCAACCGCGGGGTGAGTGAGAACCTATCCTTGCAAACTTTCCTTAGAGCCACTGTGAACGCTTTCAACCAGATGGCCACTGCATTTGTGACAAAGATGGACAGGACCCCCAAATCCTTTTAGCCTTACATAATTTCATGCGTACTCAGCCTTTCGCAGTTCTTTTTCAAAGGGAGCGTGTGTACTTTGAGTGGCACCCTAAAAAAAACCCTACTTATTAATTTGCTCCGACGCCCCAACTCAGGTATACACCTTCCACATCGTCAGCCTCAAAGGGGACCTCAAGTTCTTGGGGCAGGCTCTGTCGCTGATAGCGCTGGCTCAGCAATCCAGGGAGGTTCTTCCAGCTCTGAATCCTGCCACCCCCCAGAGATGTTGGTGTAGACCATACTGAAATCTTTTCTGCCCATCGTAGCTGGGCACCGGAAACAAACCTTCAGGGGACAAAGTCAGACAAACATCTTTTTTGGGTCAAAGGGTTTTGTGCTCCAAGCCTCCTCGCAGCCCGGGCTATGCCAGCTGCACGGATTCAGCATGAGGATGGTATCCCTTGATTGGATGCATTGCTTCAATTTGGGAGTTTGCAGGGATGAGACAGGGTCATGTTTGAAAATACTCTGGAAGAACCGACAGTACTTTGAGGGGTCGAGCCTGGACAATCGGGAGCTCCGCGCCTTCTTGCAACGTGAGGGGCTCCACATGCACCTCAAGTACGTCAAGGAAAACACTCTGATTTGGAAGAATGATGCTTGCCCCGAACTTTTATGTTCTGCCAGTGATGCGACTGCTGTTCTTAGGTTTCTCTCCCAGAAGCTTGCCCAGAAACCATCCCCTTTTCCTTTTGAGGGCCTAAGTGCCTGCATGTGGGTGGCAGAGCAGCTCAATGCAACTATCTTGCGATCAAATGTTTTTATGACAGAGCCCGAGGTGCAGGCAGTCGATGCACTAGGGTCATCCTTTCTTCGCATGTACTTGTCTTTGGCAAATAAAGCTCAAGAGCAAAATGCATTATGGTTCAAATTGAGGCCTAAGTTTCACTTTGTGCAGCATTTGCTGCTGGATGCCACGGCGCGACCGTCTAGGCGAAGCTTGGGGTGGGATGACCGGCTAGGCGAAGCTTGGGGTGGGATGCCAACTTCATGGATGAGGATTACGTGAAACAATGCCTCAGAATTTTGAGAGGTTTGCACCCTTCGACTACGGCTCATAATGTCTTGAAAAGGCAGGTGACGCAGTTGAAATTCGCTGTTGCGCACTACCGGGAAAGGCTTGCCTGAAAAAAAACCGAGGCCACGGCGCTGTTTGGGCGCAGTTCTGGGTTTGAGCCAAAGCAAAAGGGCGGGCGCTGTTTTGCAAACCCAGTTTAGTTTCCCAACCACTCAGGAAAGCACAATCCAGTAGTGCTTGTGCTTGGGGTAGAACCCCCCCCCCTTCTCAGAACAACCCAATGTTAACCAAATGTTTCCAACAGCAACCCAACAACCAACTGTTTCCAACAGTGTTCCAGACATCTGAAGTCTTTTTCTTTGCAGTTTGAAGGGTGAAAAAAACATGATCTACAAATATAATGTTTTCCTTTGTCAATGTTTATATTTTTCTGGGCAGGCTACCTCCAACACTGCTTGGCAAAACACAGGATGCGCAGGCGTGTCCAAATGACCCTTAAATGGCCAAATGACCTCTAAAGGTCAATTGACCCTTAAAATAAGGAGTCGTATGGACCCCTATGTCGCTTTTATGAGGCGTTTCGTCCTTCAGGAATGACGACACTTTGTGCTATGACCTGGCGGTGGTCGCCATCACGCGAAGCCCCTGCAGCGTTCAATTTCGAAAAAACCTCACCCTCCCCCCCCCCCCCCCCGACAAACCCAAATCAAAGTCGCATTGCATGTTATTTTCACCCCTCCCCCTGCCTATTGTCACCAAAGTAGCAAAAATAATCATTTTGCAGTGGAACAAAACAAAGCAGAACCCTGGTTGAAGTTGCTTGGCTTAGCTTCAGCCCTCAGCTGAATACCTTCCCCCTCATAAGTGTGCCCCCCCACACACAATAAATGTATTTCCTGCTTGGATGTTCGGCCAACGAAGAAAGTGGTTACCCACTTGGGTTATAACCCTATGAAAACTGGGTTAACCCCACTTAAAGGCACTTGTAAGCGGGTTGCAAGCTAGATTCCCAGCAATTTGCTTATTTTGCCAAACACCTAAGTGGAGGCCAAGAAATATTAGCCCACCCGCTAGGGTCGTCCAAATGGACCCCTTTCCCATTTTTGGATTTGTGCGGGCTTTGAATTCGTTCAACCTTGGTTAAACATTGGTTTACTGCAGTGTTGGTCAAGGGTCAGCAAAATTTATTATTGCTTAGAATTGGCTTAGCATTGCGCAATTATTTTGAATTTAAATAGGGAGACTTGGAGTCTGGGTAAATTATAGCTGTTGCTAAGGTGAGTTTATTGGTAGGGGAATGGCTTGCGCTGCAGTGTCAGTGCCGCGCGCACTCTGAACGGGTTGTTAAGCGGACACATTTTGAACCATCGCCTTGTAGACCAGGGTCATGTGGATTTGGATTTGTTTTTTGGGAACCCTGAAAAACTGTGGCTGCATGTTTTTGTGGCAAAATTGGTAAACCCCTATTTCGACGTTTTTAAAGGGCAAAAGGCTTCCGCCAGCAAAACAAAATATTGTTTGTGAGTGAAAATGTGTTTTGCTGACTAAGATACAAGTGATGCTGGAAGTGTTGACTGTTTTGAGAAGTGACGCGGGCGTTGTTGATTTCCGTGCGTATTTGCTGCTACCGAAAGCGGTACACATCAAAGCTACACACGTTTCTGCCGTTGCCATTCGCTATACACGTAAGTGTTTGAAGTGTGTACTCCCCTGCAGTGAGCATACTTAGAGGATCCTCTTTTTCCCTTCATTTCCACGGGAGTCTTGCTCGCGTGCTGTGTCCGAAATGCGCAGGGGGCTCGCCGGAAGTTGCTGGAGCTCAAGGAGGAAAAGGAAGTGGAGCTGTTGGTGGAGACAGTGAGCTTCCTCTGAGCCCGTGGGGACCTGTTAGCGTTGTTTTTTTCGGCCTTTCCCGCAGGGCTTTTGATTATTGTCGTGGCTTGTTTATGGCTTGACACTGTAGATGTTCCGCGCATACATGTTTAGCCCACTGGTGAAGTTGAACGCGCAGGTTGCCATGAACACCTGTACTATCCTGTTTAGCATTCGTGCCTCGTGCCTTTTCCGGCTTTGTTTTTTTTAGTGTGCCGACACGTAGACCTTTGGATTTAGGCTTGGCCGACCCCACCTGCCCCAAAGGGCAGTAGAGACAGTTCCTCCGCCAACTCGCCCAGCCGAAGTTGGCGGATTAGGATTCTAATCTTTTGCAAATCGCAAAACGGATTCGAATCAGTCCAAGCTCAAGGTGCGCACCGGGTAAGGCGCATGCGTCGCCCATTGCCAGCCAAATGGGTTGCCAAACCTGCAGTTGCAAGCTGCCGACGGCTTGTGCTTTTCGGGTCGCCCACTGTTCACAAGAACTTGGCTTCAGCAAAAGATGGGGCGCAGGATGACTGAATGTGGTCTTGCATCGGCAGGCGCTTTGGTCCAAAAAGTGTGTCACTTGTTTGGCGAATTGTTCATGGTACATGCGCTGCCTTTTGGTTGCGTGCGCGTGCTGGGCTGCGGCCGGGCACAGGCACTCCAAAGCCACAAGCGCTTGCGAGGAAGTGCGATTTCCCACGGAACGGGTGCCAGAACGGTCGGGGCTTCTCTATGTGCTGGCGGCGACCGACGACCGCGCCATAAATCCACACAGTGGGCGGTACTTTGAGCACGTGAATTTTCGGCAAAGATGGACCAACTCAGGCGACTTAGGCGCTTTGGTGTATTGGCAGGATGCACCTGGGGCTCCCTGGAGAAGTATGGATATGCAGTCCAACAGCACCGATATCAACAACAAATTGTGGTGGGCGTCGCAAAGGGCATGGTGCTCTCAAGGGGAGCGAGAGTGGTGTCGCATGGTTTTATGGCACTCTGAGCTGTGGACGCTTGGCAATGCTTTGAACCAGTGCTTGGCTCCCGGACACTTGCGTTTGTTTTGAGGTTCAACATGCAGAATTAGCAGTGAAAAAAGTAAGCTGAAAAGGTGAAATGACTTCAAGTGTGACAGCTCCTGGGCTTTGGATGTGAGGAAGGGCCAGCGCTTCTACTTGGCATTCACCTGCATCCCGGACCTGATGGGCCACGAGCTTTTGTACGAGGGCGGCCCGTCAGACCCAGAGCTGGTGAGCTATGCCTGGTCGCTGATCCAGGCGAAGGGCGGCGGACTGGAGAAGTTCAACTTGCTGCAGCTTCCCACAGCGCCCACCGAGCTGCCGTGCCCCTGGAAGGCCTGTCCGATTCTTTGGGGCTGGGCTTGAGACAACTGAACTGCCCCCGAGGGCTTTGTGTGCCGTGATTATTGACTTTCCGGCAGGGCCCAATGCGTTCCTAAGTGTAGAGCAAGAACAGCAAGGCAGCCAGAACCCCTTCAATGTTCCTTCCCGACACCCCGGCGAACCCGTGCCCGCGGAACTTTCCTTGGTGCC